AGCGTGGGCTGGATTGCTCATAGTCAGCCTTACACGATCATCTTTTAAACATTATAAATCAAATGTTTACCACCCACCATACCAGCAACAAAAGCGATTCGTTTCTGGCACTTCGCCGGCCGCTGCCGCGGCACGCTCGCTACGCTCGCTCGGCTCGTGCGTTGTTTTTCATACACTAACCTAACCTAACCCATATGACATAATAAACCTATACAAGTATAGGTCCGCCTCTTGTTATGTTTACAGTTTGAAATTGCCTAGCAAAAGTTAGTGAGTTCTATCTTCAAATGAATTATTTTTAAGTACACAAAGCACCATACGTCAAAGAAAAAGGGTTGCCGGTTAACACTAAATAAAAAAGAAACATTCAGTTGAAAAACACAAAAGAAACTAAAATAAAATTTGGAATAGATCGGCTTGTAGTCATTTATTCTCTTATTCTTATTCAAAAGTAAGTTAATATTTAGTTAATACAGATATTGGAGTTTTAAGACCGCCTCTTGTTATGTTGGGTTTACAGTATAAAATTGCCTAGTAAAAGTTAGTAAGTTCTATCTTCAAAGGAAAGGTGTTTAAGCACCATACATCAAAGAAAAAGGGTTGCCAATTTACGCTTAATAGAAAAAGAAATATTCAGTCAAAAAACGCAAGAAAACCTTAAAATAAATTTTGTATAGATTGGCTTGTAGTCTGTTATTCTCTTCTTCTTATTCAATAGTAAATAAATATTTAATTAATACAGATATTGGGGTTTTAAGTCCGCCTCTTGTTATGTTGGGTTTACAGTATAAAATTGCCTAGTAAAAAATAGTAAGTTCTATCTTCAAATGAAAGTTGTTTAAGTACACAAAGCACCATACACTCAAAAGAAAAACAGTTGCCCATTTACACTCAATAGAAAATGAAATATTTAGTAGAAAAAGCTTATATTATTTTACGCTCATATTCTTATTCAATAGTAAATTAATATTTAGTATTAACAACAACAATCTCTAGAATTATGGCTCGCTTCGCTCGCTCTTTATTTTTGTCACGGTACCCTACGCAATTGACCAGGTCTCCATTTTTTTAAGGCTCGCTTCGCTCGCTTTTTGTTTTATTTACAGTTCTAATATAACTGATTGACCAGGCCTCTATTGATGGTGTTCTTTATGGCTCGCTTCGCTCGCATTTTATTTTAGTCACAGTCCTAACCTTATCAATTAACAAAATCTCTCTTAATGGTTACTCTTTATGGCTCGCTTCGCTCGCTTTTTGTTTTACTCACAGTGCTAACATAACCAATTGATCAGGTTTCTTTTAATGGTCTCGCATTTTGGCTCGCTTCGCTCGCTCTTTATTTTGGTCACAGTCCTTTAAACGATTGACCAGGTCTCCATTTATGATGGCTCGCTTCGCTCGCTTTTTGTTTTATTTACAGTTCTAATCTAACTGATTGATCAGATATCTATTGATGGTGTTCTTTATGGCTCGCTTCGCTCGCATTTTATTTTAGTCACAGTTCTTACCTTACCAATTAATCAAATCTCTCCAATTGGTCATTCTTTATGGCTCGCTTCGCTCGCTTTTTGTTTTAGTCACAGTTCTAATCTAACCGAATGACAATGTCTCGCTCGCTTTATTTTTCTGGCGAAAATATTGGATTCTTTTTTCTCACCACGTAAAGATTGAGTAAAGATACACAAACGGTCTATAATATGCTATAAAGCTTCCCGAGTCGCCAGCTCGGTCAAAATCAATCTGAAATTAATATGGTGACTACTATCAGTGTTGCTTGTCGATCACTCAAATTATTCCATCGATTATGTTACAAAAACAACAGTAAATTTTTGTGAATTAAAAACAAATATTTTTCATCAATGACATACATGACAGTTCCTCAAAAATCCCGGTATCAAAAAATTTTCAGATTTTTGTTCATCTGGCAACACTTCAGCAGAATACATGTTTTTTGTTAGAAGTATTCTTAAAAATGTTACCAAAAACGCCAAAATCAGCTCTATAAAGTGAAAGTCGTGAAAAATGATCAATTTTCTAGATAAAATGGTGCTATCTAAGCCGCCATCTTGAATTTTGAAATTTCAACCTCAGAACTATGTAGCCCACCTATTGGCGCATCCAACGCAGTTTCTATTATTTTCCTAGCGGCAATAGTGACTGCGCTAGAGTCCAAAACGTGAATAGTGGGCATTAAATCTTCAACCACGCTGTAGCTGCCGGGGTTGCCAGGTGTAGGCGATGAAAACAGTCAAATGTGATTTCGGGATGCGCCCTCCATCGACAGATACCAATTTTCAAGTTCTAAAATTGTTCCTTTGACAGTTACAGTTTTTGGGGTAAATCTCAAAAACTACCCTAAAATCGGGTAATTTTTTTCCACCATATGAAAGAGTCTATAGAGATGCACAATCGCTCCATACATGCCGAATACCTGTAGGGTTGCCAAGTCGGTCAAAATCGAGGTTGAATTTCAAACGTTGTTTGCTCTCAGTGTTGCCAGTCGATCGTTCTATTTTTTCCATCGGGTATCTTGAAAAGTTAAAATTAAAATATTTGCATCGAAAAAAATTCAAAATTCGACAAAAATTGTTTCCCCAAAAATCTCATAAAGTATCAAAAATTTTCGAGATTTTTTTTCACCTGGCAACACCTCAGCTACTTGCCTAAAAAATGTTTCCCCGGAAGTAGTCTGACAAATGTCGCCAAGTGCGTCAAAATCGGCTCGACTGTGGTGACGATACCCAATTTTCCGGATAAAATCGGCCGCTGGTTTGGCCGCCATCTTGAATTTTGAAAATCCGGCTCCGTACCGGTGTGGCCAACTCGATAGCGCATCCGATGCAGTTTTTACCATTTTCCTAGTGGCAATACCGACTGCGCTAGAATCGACAAAGTAAAAAATGGGCAAAATTTTTCAAATCGCCGCTCCTACCAGGGTTGCCAGGTGACGACGATGAAAATGGCCAAATGTCATTTTGGGGAGTGCCCTCCGTCGAGGAAATTCATTTTTGAAATTCCCAAACGGCTCCTTCTACTTTTCTAACTTTTTGGGGTAAATCTCCGAAATTACCCTAAAATCGGGGAAAAATTTTCACGTCATTCGAAAGAGCCAGGAGAGACTCACGACCAGTCCATACAAGGCGAAGAGCTCCAATGTTGCCATGTAGGCTAAAAGTGCGTTTGAATTTTTCGAAAAAGTGAAAAAATCACAAAATGGCCGCTGCCGGCGCCGCCATATTGATTTTGCCGAGTTTTATAATTTTCCCATAGTCACGACTATATCAGGCAAGGGACCTCATTCACAGATTTTCTCCGCTGGCCACCCAGGTTCCCAAACAATTCGGGTTATGAGGGCATGTCGAAAAACACGTTTTCTACCGTGGAGCCCAGGGTTGTCAGCTCGCAGAAACGAAAACTACCAAAAGTCATAGGGCTCCCCCGGCACCACACCGCATCGAGTCTGTTTTCCGCGAAAAGTGCGTATTTCGAAATTTCACTTTTCTCCCAAAATCTCCTAAACTACCACGAAAATGGTAGAAATCGGTAGTGAAGTAGAAAGATCCTACCGAGCCCCACGACCGCCCCATACAACACGAATCCGTCCGACGCCGCCATCTTGGAGAAAATCTCACTGGAAAATGGCGATTTTTCATTGCCGAAACAAAATGGCCGCCCCCGCCGCCGCCATATTGACAGCGCAAATGAAAACTCCCCGTACGTGAAAATTGACTATACTTCCGAGCTGAAGGAGCAAAAATCCCCCCTCCGAACCCACAACAAAACGAATGACGATCGCCCGAACAGAGGTCGAAAAATGCCAATTTTCAGGTGAAATATCTCAGCCGCCATTTTGTTTTTTTAATCAAACCCTTTTGCAATGCCATTTTTTTAGCCCACTCTACTACCATTTTGAATATCGTAACCGTAGAGTGAATAATGTAGAAACTAAAAAAATTATCTCGCCGCCATTTTGTTTTTTGGCTGTACCGATATGGTACTTCAACTCGATAAAAAAAAATATTGTCACTCTTCATACATGAAAACGTCATTTTCCCCCTCTTTCTACCCGAAAAAAGCATGGAGTGAGTGAGTGAGTCAGTGAGTGGTAATTAAGCTTTATATATTATAGATAGAAATTAAGCTTTATATATTATAGATATAAAATTCTTGCGTTACTGAGTGACTGACTGAAAGACAAACAACGTACAGCCAAAACTACTGAGCGTAGAAAGTTGGGTATGTAGATTCCTTAGGGAGTGTGTGGATCACTAAGAAATTCGTTACTAAAAAGTGTTAGGAGTTTCAAATTTGCATGCGGGTTCTTTCTAGAACATTGGTGCTCACTAAGACGGGATTTTACGAAAAGTGACTAAGGGGGTAAATTAATGGAATAAAGTTTTTATGGAATTTTCTCGTCTCGTCTCAATTTCTGGCCACAAGAAGTCCATTTACAATTTTTTAAATTGGGAAAAAACTTAACGTCAAGGTGTGCCTCACAATTAACATCGTGCATTATAGTTGGGCCACTCGTAACAATAAAAAAATCAGTCGAATTGTTTAAAGGCAGCTAATTATATAACAAGATACAGGCAAACTTCGTTGGAGTCAGGGGACTTATTTGAAAAACTTGTGATCAGGGAATAAAGTAAAGCAAATTTAAAATTTGAGAGTGATACAAAAGAATTGGTACTAAAATCCTGTTAATATTAAAAACGCAAATTTGGAATCAAATATACATTTATAGTGCATATTTGATGTTTCATGATATTTCGTCTTATTATTATACATAGGTAAATACCCAATTTTCCCAAGTCCCCGCAAAAATGGGAATAAATGACGATATTAGCAATGACGTGTCAATCGAATAGGCGTTATAGTAATTACAATACAACTATACTGTTACCTCCTGTGGTGACGTCTTCGGCGGTAACACAGGTCACAGCCTCCAAAGAAGCGTGCACTGGTATCTCCGCTCAATGTTTGTTTTGTCAAAGAGACGAGCGCACGCGCAAGTAACGTTCGCTGTATAGCGCCTGCCACCGTACCATTGTACCTGTGGAACGGATCAAGCGTAAATCCGCGAAGTTTGAAAATCGAAAAAGTGTGTTCCATTTTTGTTTTGTTTGTGAATTTTTGTGCTACGTGCAAAAAAGGTGAGCTGTTTACAATTTTTTTATTAAATAATTTTGGATAGTATAGGTAAATATACTAGCAATAATATTTCATATAATAAAATAATTTTATGTTAATATTAACCATTTCTATATGTTAATTCAATGCGATTTATAAGTTTAATATACAAAACATTTATATTACAATGACTCGGGTGTTTTCCAATGTTACGATTCTCTAATACGCACCTACTTGCATACTAATTTCATAAATGGGAAAGAGTATTTGTCCGTTCACGTCTCAACGAAGCGTCGGTCGTTATGATATAATTTTTATGTGGAGATATTAATACTAGGAAGTAACAAGTAGTATTAAATAATATAATAATTTTTAATTTACATTACCTACAATTACTTAAATATAAAACAGTATTAACAGGTAATTTGATCATAATCAGTATCCAACAATCAAGCTTTGAACTAATCAACGAACTGCTTATGGCGTACCGCGTTAATTAATTACGAAAGCAATCAGTAACGCTAATCTGTTACTTCTTACGTGACTGGGGCACGATCGCCAATATTAAACTACTTTTTCGACGGTCAGATATTGGATGGGTGGTAGTCGTTTTATGTTATAAGTAAAATAAAACATATGGAGATTTGCATATCATCATCAACTTATTAACATATCCACTGCTGATACACAGGACTTCATATCTTCATCATTATCATCATCAGTATATTGATGTTCCCATTACTGGTGCTCAGGCCTTCTCTATGAATAGAATCTAGTCAAATTGATTAGGTCTCTATATAGATAAAAACATTTACAGAGAACGGATCATAACCACACAGGCCCAATGTGAATTAGTGGGGACCGACGGCTTAACATATCTTTTGAAGTATGGGGAGCATAATATAATGAAATTTCCTTTTCCCAACCGATTAACGACACATACAAAAGTTGCTTAAAAGAGAGCGTATACTGAAATTACTAACTATTAATTAGTTCTGCACATAGAACTAACATCCTCATAAAAAGTAACATTATTATTACTGAATTAAATCATAAAATTTACTCGATAGAAACAAAAGACAACGTTGGCTCTAAAATTCACGATTTTTCCATTTGTTCTCGTCAATTAGATATTAACTTTTACTATAGGGAAAATTGATAAATATAAGACTCAAATTTACAGTGGAGGGATTTACTGAGAAATTTTACAATAATCGTAAATTTGCGGATATGTAATTAAACAACGTCTCTGTCTTTATCTAATTGACTGGTGTGTAACATTCGTCTCGTCTTGTCTTTCGTTTTTACGCCCAGCCTTAATTTCCATTAGACTATTGAGCTTTGTTTAGAGCCATATAGGCTTAATATAATTCAAATCCATTCCAATTCCACAACATTTATTCAGTCTAGATAGTTACAAGCACTTGTGAAAGTTGAAAACTATGCCATAGGTTCACAAATCTACGATAAGAGACCTTGTTCTGAGAAGAACTGGCAAAAAACTCAGCAAGGGCTACTTCTTTTCCCCTGTTTTTATTTTACACAAAGAATTCCAATCAAAAAATTATATTATTAGGCAATGAAGTCACTTTTCGTAACAAAAAAAAGGTATTTCTTTCGTTAATCGATTAATACGCCGAATATAATATCATAATTGACAAAACTGATATAGTATAATGACAAAGTGGAAAAATTAAGAAACCACAGAAGCTTAGCCTTGTTCACGTGCTGTTGGAAAATGATGTCAGAAGCCATAAAAACCGGCGAGTATGTATGAAAAGACTAATGGAAGTCGAGGCGGTGAAAGATGTGTATAAGATGCAGCGAGGCTTGGTCCTCTCTGCCTTTCTCACAAAGGATCCGCCAGAGGATTCGCAGAGAAGCGTGAAGATATAGACAAGGCTATTCATAAATACCTGTATTTTCGAGTACGTATAAGAGTGAATGCTCTCATTCTGGGCAAGCTTGTTCCACTTTAGATCTCATTCAAGCCCTTGGGTCGGATTGAGATCGAGAGTGAGCCATTTATAAATTTAAAAAAAAAAACCTAAATTTATTAATGGCTCACTCTCACTCCTAAATCCATAAATTTATGTTAGATAACACTTTACAAAATCATTGGTTTGTAATAGTTTTCAACTCAACTTACGCCACAATAACGATTAATCACAATGATTTCGTATACATCTTTTCTTCCCAAAGATATCAAGACTGTTTTCTACAATAAATTTCGCAATAGTAACTACAGTAAAGATTTCAACTTCTCTTTATCAAATTTGCGTAACTACAGGAAAGTACCGAATCCAACAAGAAACTGGCAGTGAAAAAGTACTCAATAAACAAATTTAAAGATTTAATCTGAGCTTAAGAAATATGACACTGACATGACACTTAAGAAATAATATAAAGATTAAAGTAATTGCCTTCACTTAAATATGTAATAATCACATTTACATTTACACAATTTATTTGAAGGGGATTCTTAAGTCAATCTTCGATATCAAATATATTTTGAACAAAATTCCAAAGAAACTATGTACATCATTTTGAACTTTTATAATACACATAATATCCGTTTTGAAACATTAAAACCAATTAGAAACTTTTACGGTGATGAAAGTGAGAAGGTATTGTGAAATTACGTTAAATGCTTTAATTTTGTATATGATAAATATTCTTTGGTCGCACAAACATTCTGAGAATCGCTATTTTGTTATTTTAGTAAATATCCACTGAGCTTTTGTCCTCTTCACATCTTTGGACTTTGGATCTTAGTTTTCTAATATTCAATGTAAGATTCATATAATAAAAATAGATGTGTGTGTATAAATACGCTACGCAAAATATGGTACGAATAAAGAATATTAAAAATTAAACCGACTTCAAATAATCGTAATAAAGAGAAACGACTGAAAAGAGAGAAATAATATTTATATAATAATTTATATAATCGAAACGCAAGAAGTGGATACATCGCAGCCAAGTGCTATAATCACCGGCCAATTGGGTAGCTAGCCCTTTAATTGAATGCCTTTTTGCCATTCACTTAACGGGCTGACTTTCGATCAGCCGTGTAGCTGACCGCAACATTCTACTATGGCTGAACAAAAGTTAGCCAACTAATTAACTGTCAATTCATCGGGAATATCAAAATTTAATGGTAGGATTAGAAGTAAAACAAAATAAATTTTGTCGTGGTTGATTTTATTTAAAACCCCGCTTCGGCATGAATGGGCCGGCTTGACCGGAGTGATACCACGGCCTCACAGAAAACCGAAGTGCTCGTCTGCCCACATCCCAAAAAAAAAAATTACTTGTTACGATCAGTAGGGTTTAAACGATACTTTCAATGCCGAAAAGGTTTCGATATTTTCAAAAGCGATACTCGATACTGAGTATTCGATGGTGGTTTTTCAATTTTAATAGCCTCAATACAATGTATTTCTGACTTACTCCAATATTATACATTATACAAAATATATTTTTAAGAACAACCCTAGAAATACCTAAATATTTGAATGAAAATAAAAACAATAATTATATTTCAGCAAATTACCAAGTACTTACAAAGTTAAAATATTTTGGACCGATGTTTTGGATAGTGTTTCATTCCAGCGTTGCTATTGCTGCGGCAATTGCAGTGTCTTATAATAAAATTGGATATTTAAAACAAAACTATATCGTCAGATACTGCCTTAGCAAAATCTATGGCAATGTAGCAAGGTCCTGGTGCTGATCCAAAATAAATCATGTTTTATTTTTTATTATATTCAATAATTTTGGTAGCTGTCCTAAAAAACATTTTTAATGAAAAATGCTTTAAAAGCTTTTTACCACCCACCAAATACGGCAGTACATAATATTGCAAGCAAAACTATTTGATTAGTTCCTCGATCGTTTCCAAAGAGATTTTATGTAGTTTTCTGTGCATGAACTTTGAAAGATCTTATACTAAGAAATGCCATCCGTTCTAGTTTTGTTCTATAGGTAGGCAATTCGTCAGTGTGATTTTACACAATATGTATTCACTAAATATACAATATTCTTTTTCTCGCTTTATTTCTAAACTTATAGTATTTATAAAATCTAATAACACTACATCAGCATACTACATTTTTTTATTTGCCTATCTTGGTATTTTTTCAAGGATTTACCATGTGGCATTAATTTCCTATTTTAAATAATTATTTTTATATTTCTTGCTATATTTTACACTAAAAAGAATTTTACTGTAAATATTTTAATATGAAAAATTGTATAAAGCTGTTTATTGTTATTTCAAATAGCGTAGTTATCAGACAACATTGTGGTCTATAATATATTGTTGTTTTGAGGTCTATTTAAGCTGCAACAAAAAAGTAGGCATTTGTTTTTAAAACAATATTTATATTCATTTTTTTTATTGTATGTGAATTGAATTCAGAATTGTCTCAAAAGCGAATCGAATAGAGACAAAAGGCCATGACTCACTACGCGGGCACAGTACTGACTTGTGGGGGTAAACGACTGAACTTATTCTACTGAACTGAACAGATTCAGATGCAGCGGGGATCAACGATTTACATGCCTACCGAAGCACTGAGGAGCTCGAGATAATTAATGTTTGGTCACCCAACCTATGGTTGGCCCCTGCAAAAGTTGCTGCAATTTAATTTCACAATGCTATTTTGAAATTAACCGTATAAAGAATGCATCCTGAAGGATATGCAATGTAAACTGAAGGATAAAGTTGTATTTTTGGATTCAGATCAATAATACACAGAAAGATGGTTAGACATCAATATTCATTTCTTTATTTAGAATCAAATATGAACCTACAGACTTTGAAAGTTTTATTTCAATAAAATAGTATCCCTAATACAAAATACTGAAATCACTACCACGACTTTTCTTCTTTATAAGAGAAATTAGTTTACAATTAAAAAAAAAACTATAACAGAATATACAGTATTCTGCATTATGGACTATATTTCATATTTGGTTACTTAACTCTTCATCGAAATTAAAATCATTTTCACCATATGAAGACA